ATTAAGATATTTTAGTAATTAAAATATCATGAATAATAAAAAAAATAAAATGCACTTATGAATATTTTAAAAAATAATTAAAAATACTGAAATAATTTCATCAGAAATCATGATATTTAGATATTAAAAGGTCCTCATTTTCACCTTTTCTCAATAAATCAGACATTCTACCTCTGTTTATACATAGTTGTTACATTTTTAAATAAAAGTGCCTACATTTAATTATCACACTTTTTATTTTTGTAAAAATTTGAAATGCTTTTTTAATAAAAAATTACTTATATTTAAAATTTTTAATAATATTTTAGTATATTATTGTCAAAGATACACTATGAGAAGAAGGATTAATAGTTATGTTTTAAAATTTTAAAATAAAATTTCTCTTTAATTGCACTTAAAAAAAAGACAACAATCAACAATAGACTGAGGTGGTAGTATACTATTTTCAACCAATTTTACTTGTAACATTCTTATTACTAGTTGAAGTTTCATAATTATCTTTATTAATGCGATAATGTTATAATGAAAATTTCATGTAAAATTATAAATTTATAATTATAATATAATATAATATTAAATATGTATAACATGATATTAAATAAATGGACTATGATTCATGCACATCTCGGTTCAACACCCGAGGCGAGGTGACACACTCCACATAACCAAATAATTTTAAAAGTAAAATTACAAATTTACCTTTTTTTTTTTTTTTCTCTCCCTTGGTCTGGGTTCTGGAGAACCCAGATCGGGTTCTCCAAGAACCCACCTCTTCTTCTCTCTCGATTCTTTTCCCTTTTATAGATCTAGATCATCTCCTTGCATCTCATCATCATCACAACCTCCACCTCCATCACCATCCTCAATCACCACCGAAATAGAAGGAGAGGAGCAGAACCATAGATCCCTCTGTTTTCGATCACCATCGTCACCATCACCACCATCATCACCAAGCAGCCCCAAAAATAAATAAATAAAAGGGTGAAGCAGATCTGGTTTTGGCGAAGAAGCAAATCTAGTTTTGGGGAAGGAGAAGAGTTTGGTAGCTAAAAGCACCAGACGAAAAGGGTTGAGGAAGATGGAGAGACAAGAAGAAAAAGGGTATTGAGAGGAAGATGACTTTTAAGATTAAATTTGTAATTTTATTATTAAAATTATTTGGTTATGTAGAGTGTGCACT